CCTCGTTGCTCCCATCTTCTCACTGAGTTAAGGGACAAAAACTCCTCTCAGCGCCACCGGGCCGGCCCCAAAGCTGGTTGATTTTGCTGTACCAAACTTCTGTTTTCTAACTAGCACTAACTCCCCTCTATGATTATCAATTAGTCCATGCGCCTTTCCAAATTTCTGCTTTATGTATTTTAAAGCAATACGTTTCACATTTGTTATCTTTGTGCTAAATTGTCTATTATTATATACTGTCGTTATTTATTTGTATTAATACTTTTTGAACTTTAAATCTATTTGTCTGACATTAATATTGCTACATCCTCTTTATTTTGCCTAGTATTTGGAGGTATATATTTCCCTAGTCCTTCATCCTCATTCTTCTGTGTGATTTTGCCCTAGGTATATCTCTTGCAAGTGGTACACGACTTGATTAAAAAACTCAGTTGTATAATCTCTTCAACTAATGAGCTTAATTCAATTGCAATCATTATGATTACTTGTATATTTGAGCTTACTTCTTCCATCTTATTGTGTGCATCCTGTTCAGTATGTTTTTTCTTTGCCTCTCCTTTTCTTTCTATACCTTTCGTTGTGTTGATACAGTTTTTAATATTTTGTTTACTTCAGATGATTTTTTTCAGGTGAAGCTGCAAAGTACATTTCTAGTGTTTAGTGGTTACTCTTAATCTTAAAGGTACTTAATGATACTCTTTTAAAAAACAAAGTCTGCAGTTATTCAGTATTTCCTTCTTCCAATCGTAATAATGGCCTTAACACCTGTAGGGTTATTAGCTGCTATTTTTATAGCCACTATTGAATTGAATTATAAGCTTTTTAACAAAGTCCTATATTTGCATCAAATTCTACATTTTCAATGTTCACTTTTTTTCTTGCTGAATTCCTTACTTTTTAAAAACAAGGTTCTTGGGTGGTACATTCCCCTAGTCTTCATATGCCTTAAAACGTCTTTATGTTGTCTTTGATTTTAAATGATAATTTGGATGAGGTCTTGGTCTGTTTGTGCTGCTTTAACAGAATACCATAGACTTGGTAATTTGTAAAGACTAGTAACGTATTTATTTCTTGGGGTTCTGGAGGCTGGGAAGTCTAACATCAAGCTATTGGTAGGTTCGTTGCCTTGTGAGGGCTGCACCCTCCAGAGGGGTGGAACTCTGTGTCCTCACAGGGCTAAAGGCAGAAGGGCAAGAGGACCACGTACTGCATGAAGCGTCATTTATTGTGGCCTTAATCCCATTCACAAGGGGGGAGTCCTTGTGGCCTAGTCACCTCTTAAAAGTCCCGCCTCTTAATACTGTCACATTGGCAGCACCTGAATTTTGAGAAGACGTATTCAAACTATAGCACGTGGGTATCAATTTCTTGACTGTCAGGTACTTTTCCCTCAGCATGTTGGAGATATTATTCTACTATCTTTGCTGTCTACTTATAGAAAAAATATTTTATTTCTTTAGTTTAATGACGAATCTCCCCAATAACTAAGTTTGACAGTTGTGGACACAAATAGCTTGGATTTGCAAGGTAAGCCCTGCTGAGGTCCACAGATTCTTCTCACCACTATGTGGCACCTTGTTCGTAGATCTTTTCATGAAGTATTGAGATAGATTGTCACAGGAATGTTTGTGACTCAAATAATTTGTCATGTATTTCCATAATATTTTTGAAAATGCACTTCTATTTAAACCTATTTAAGATATTGCAATATGTGAATTGGATACATTTATATATTAATAATAAGAGAAAACAGGTACTGAAAACAAGATGTTGAAGAAATACCTTGTAAGCAGAATTGTGGTTATAGGGAAAAACACTAAGCTAGAAGTTACAAGTGCAAACTTCCAGTAATAGTTCTACCTGTGTGATCCTGGGCAAACCATTGAACCCCTCTCTTTCTCTTTACCTCTCTGTTTCATTCCCTTCATTTGTAAAATGAACGTGCTGGGCCAGGTTAGTGGTTTTCAAATTCTACTCTATAGAGTCAACATGCGTATTGTTGAATTGGTTGGGGCCAAGTGGGTGAGCTCTGGGCCTTCCATCTTGCCCAGACTATTCTCTTTTTCTTTTTCATTAGTGAACCTATCATGGTCTTCTGCATAATATTTCTTCTGAAGAAAGTATTCTGGCAGCTAAAATAACCAAACTGATAAACTATGTAATCTGAAAACCCAGTTCTAGATCTACGACTGGTTTTGTACAGGTACGTAAGCTTGACTACTCACTAATGTCATGTGTTATCAATTAATACTTGCCTTAGTCAAAGTTAAACCCCAGTTTTTAACTATGATCCACCTTCAGAATTTCCAAGCATCATAAAGTGGTTGTCGTGCCAACTCTTCTAGCATTTCACACGCTTCTGCAGGTCATCCAGGAAAGCCTTCCAGACACTTTAGTCGGGTTCTGTTACAGCCACCGTCACCCTTTACCTCGTTGCTCCCATCTTCTCACTGAGTTAAGGGACAAAAACTCCTCTCAGGAGTCTCTCCCCCTGGGCCTTGACCTTCTGCACCTTTCTCACTATATGGTCAGAGATGGAGGACCTCAAATCTGAGCTCAGGGACATCATGGCTTCCCCTTTCCCTTCTTCCTCCCTCTTCCTCATGTTTTTCTTGGACATTTTTACCTGGATGACTAAGTCATAGACGCGGGGGATTTACCTACATCCATTGTGACTCAGAGAGTTTGAACATTCAATTAAATGTCTCTAGGCTTCAGTTCCTAGGGGTTTCCAAATTTCTACTGACAACTATTTCATATATTGATGTTTTTAAAAAAAGGATTCAAGTGTTTTTATCAAGCTTAACATAACAGTTTTAAACATAATGCTTTTTCGTATCAAGGAAGAAGCTCTTTCTTCTAGTCTGGATGATCTTGACCTGCACGTTCCATTAGTAGAGCCCATGCAGAAGCTGCTGCTATTTGAAGAGAGCAGTTGAATGAGGAATGGTGTAATTCACATTCCTTACTTATGTGCATGTTGACAATAAAATATTTCTACTTCGAAAAATTCAGAAACTGTCTACATACCAATATTTTATAGATTATAAACCCTACATAGTATGTATAGATAGGATTCATGTGTATCATAAATAATGTATTTCTTCATCATACAAATGGATTGATGTTTATAGTCTAGTCCCTGAGAATTCTGAACAGTTAAATGTCATGTGTGAAACTAATTTTTATTTATATAGTTAACACGTTTTGTGATAGGTATGTTATTTTCATAGGTTTCCATTTCTATTGTTTGTTTTATATTTATGTTAAGTAGTCAAGTTCTTAACTTTTCTGGGTTAATTCTTTCCTTCTTTGATAATTGAATACATTCCAGTTTGCTCTGTTTGTGAGTTTACAGTGTCCCTCTCTATGGTATATATTGGCTTTAGGTGTCTTTCTAAAAACTTACTCTGCTCTCATAATCCAGTGCAGAGATAAGCAATCTGTCTTCTCAGCTCTGAGATTTTGCTTCATTCCATCAGGAATGCAGTGCAATAAAAAGGTACAATTTCTTAACTGTAATCATGGAATATTTCACATGTTGTTTGCAGAAGCATGGAAATATAGGAGAAAAACAATCAAGCAGACCCTCTAAATGCAGTCCCATCGTACTTTCCTGTCAGTGTTATTGTTGTTGTCTAGCCTCCATACAGAGCTTGTTTTTCTGTTTGGGTCTCTATTCTTGAAATTCTTTTTTCATACTGCTTAATTTTAGAAATAGTATAGGACTAGCAGCAGGTGGTAAAAATGTATTTTGCTTGGGTTTTTACATGGAAAAGGAAAGAATAACAGATTACATTTTAGAATATGACTTCAAGCTTGAATTTTAGTTTAAACCTAAATTGATAACCCTCCCCCAAAGGTAGAGGCTATAGTTAGTAATAGCATAAGTACTATTCAAGTACTGGGGTAGAGTCAGCTCTTTAATATTGATGTAAACTCTTATATTGTCATTTCCTTCAACTGGTTAATCAAGGAATATAGATTAACTTTAATATTATTTAAATCATAACCTAAATTTGGAGATAGCCTAAATATGCTGTGAACACCTTCTATCCACAGGTATTTGGGGGGACACTTATGCCTCTTGTCTGTTTTAGATGAATATATAGTCTCATCTGTCATGACTGTTGCGAAATGGTCCCATCCAGCATCCTTTTGGGAATGCAATTTGTCAATGTATCTCAAACTCCTTGAAATGCATGTATTTTGAATTACTTAGAGGAATTTATCATAAGACATTGCACAATATTTATGTTCAAGATTGTCAATACAGAGCCATTTAAAATAGCAATAAATTGGAAAAAAAAAACCCTGTTGAAAAAATAAGATAATGCTTAAATAAATTCAGGTAGATTTGTACCATGGAATAGTAAGCCACCATTAAAATCCTGATACTAATATAGTATTAATTAAAAATCGTGGAAGTCCAAGTTGTACAAAGAATGTGATCCCAATTTTAAAAAAACATTATATCTACATCCATATATATGCATGGAAAGAAGGCTGGAATAACAGTGGTTCCTTAGGGTGGTTGGATGTATTGAACAAAGCTTACTGAGCATGTACTATGAGAAGCTGTATAGTGGAGGAGATGGAGGAGATGGAGGAGATGGAGGTGATGGAAGAGATGGAGGTGATAGAGGTGCTGGAGATGATGGAGGTGATGGAGGAGATGGAGTTGATGGAGGTGATGGTGATGATGGAGGAGATGTAGATGATGGTGATGATGGAAGTGATGGAGGAGATGGAGGTGATGGAGATGATTGAGGTGCTGTAGGAGATGGAGGTGATGGAGGAGATGGAGGAGATGGAGATGATGGATGTGATGGAGGAGGTGGAGGTGATGGAGAAGATGGAGGTGATGGAGGAGATGGAGGTGATGGAGATGATGGAGGTGCTGGAAGAGATGGAGGTGATGGAGGTGATGGAGGAGATGGAGATAATGGAGGAGATGGAGGTGATGGAGATGATGGAGGTGCTGGAGGAGATGGAGGTGATGGAGGAGATGGAGGTGCTGAAGGAGATGGAGGAGATGGAGTTGATGGAGGAGATGGAGGTGATGGAGGTGATGGAGTTAATGGAGATAATGGAGGTGCTGGAGGAGATGGAGGAGATGAAGGAGATGGTGATGGTGGAGGAGATGGAGATTATGGTTATGATGGAGGTGATGGAGGAGATGGAGGTGATGGAGGTGATGGAGGAGATGGAGGAGATGGAGATGATGGAGGTGATGGAGTTGCTGGAGGAGATGGAGGTGATGGAGGAGATGGAGGAGTTGGAGGTAATGGAGATGATGGAGGTGATGGAGTAATTGGAGGTGATGGAGATGATGGAGGAGATGGAGGAGGTAGAGGTGATGGAGGTGATGGAGGAGTTAGAGGTGATGGAGGTGATGGAGGTGATGGAAGAGGTAGAGGTGATGGAGGTGATGGAGGAGATGGAGATGATGGAGGTGATGGACAGGGAGAGGATGGAGGTGATGAAGATGATGAAGGTGATGGAGGAGATAGAGGTGATGGAGGTGATTGAGGTGATGGAGGTGAGGTTGGTTGCTCAGGATGGTGACAGTGGTGATGCAAACAGAGAGCAGACACTAGACATTTTAGAGAAAGAAGTATTAAGACGTGGAGATGTGGCCTCAGAGAGGAAAGGGCCCAACTTATCTCTTGAGCAATTGGGCAGCTGGAGGTCCACTGATGGGACGGGAGGAGAGCTGTGAGTCAAGAGGTGAAATTCTCTTCCTTTCACTTTTCTATGTTACACATATTTTCTCTAATAAGCAAGTGAAAAGGTAGTTAGTTTAAAAATATTTAGATGTAGGCCAACTTAAAATTATTTGCTGATAAAAGTGCAGGTAATGAACAGAGCAGGAAAAAGAAAACCCAGCAAGGAAAGAGGTGTCAAAGAATGCATGTAATTTGCTATGATTGTGCTTTTTGCTGTTTATGAATAGACTATTTTTTGAAAAAGAAAACCAGATCATGTAATGTAGTCTGGTGGGTAACCTGTTTTTAATTTCTTGTAAAACATATTATGAGCATTTCCTCAAGTCACTAATTATGCTTGTAAAACATATTTTTCATAGCTACATAGTATCTTGTTTTGTAAATGTGCAATATTCTATTTAATTAACCATTAGTCCTTTAGTTTATTTTCAATTTTTCTCTATTGTAAAATGATAGCAATGACCATTGGAGCTTTCTCTTTGAATGCATAAATAATAACTTGCTTAGGATGGATTCTTGGAAATGAAACAGTTTTTTCAAAAGTTCTTAGACTTTTTCTTTACTTTTGAACTTCCTCACATAATACTGTTGTGGGTCCTACTTTAATTTTTTTTTTTTTTGCTTTGCCTGATGCTTCTTTGCTCTTTAACTTCTTTGGGGTACACTTTGCTCTATGTTACCTTCCTTCCCTCCCTCCCTCATTTCCCTCTCTACTCCCTCCCCTTCTCTTCCTCCTCCTCCTCTTTCTCTCCCCCTCCCCCCTTTCTTCTTCTCCACATCTTTATTAACCTGCCAGCTCTTAGTTCATTATGGAATGTAATCCATGTAAATTGTTATATGCAATGAATTTGATTTTTCTGCTATTTTATGTTTCTTTGCTGCTTTCTTTGATTTTTATATCTTAGGTATAAACTATATTTTCTTTCTTTTTACTTCTTCTAACATTTTGGTGCAGTCATGTCTTTCTAGCTGTTGCTCAGCACAATGCCTGGCACCACATAGGGCATGCAGCAAACACGGTGGAAAAAGAGATGAGTCCATTTATTATTCTACTAGCATTCGCTGTTTCCATTCAGGTTTTATGGAAGCATTATTTGGCCTGTCTCTGTAAGGGTCATGGTCAATGGTGAAACGTTCCCTTTTCTTACATACTCCCTCTTAAGAGAAGGTAGATAGGACACTTTGCCCCTCTTACCTCTATTAGCTTTTGTTCCATTTATTTTACATTGTAAGCATTAAGATTCCTCTTATTAAAAATGAGCAAAGGAGCTGAATAGACATTTTTCAAAGGAAGACATACAAATGGCTAACAGGTACATGAAAAAATGCTCAACATCACTAAGCATCAGGGAAATGCAAACCACAATGAGATATCATCTCACCCCAGTTAGACTGTCCAGTATTAAAAAGACCAAGAGGAACAAATGCTGGTGAGGATGTGGAGAAAGGGGAACTGTTCTATGTTGCTGGTGGACATGTAAATTAGCACAGCCATTATGGAGAACAGAATGGAGGTTTCTCAAACAACTACAGATGGAACTGCCACATGATCCAGCAACCCCACTTCTGGGTATATACCCAAAGGAATGGAAATCATCATGTCAAAGGGATACCTGCACTGGCATGTTCATTGCAGCTCTATTTACAGTAGCCAAAATATAGAACCAACCTAAATGCCCATTGATGGATGACTGGATAAGGAAAATGTGGTATATATACACAATGGAATACTACTCAGCCACAAAAAAGAATGGAATTCTGCCATTTGCAGCAACACAGATGAGCTTGGAGAAGATTATGTTAAGGGAAATAAGCCTTATGCAGAAAGAGAAATGTCCTCACTCATAAGAAAGAAGGAAAGAAAGGAAGAAAGAAAGAATGAAGGAAAGAAAAGACCTCAATAATAGATTGAACTTTCAGAAAGAGAGAGCGAATCTGTGGTTTCCAGAGGTAGGAGGGGGAAGATAGAAGGGCATAGTAGAGAAATTGGGCAAGGGGCATAAAGAGCAATTATGATCGGTAATAATGAATATGCTAATTATAATTTGATCATCACATGTTGTACACAGGTGATGGTAGTCAATGCTATACCTGAAAAATATGTATAATCAATTATGCTTTAATAAAAAAAATTCCTCCTATTGCTATTATTCTTTATTGTACATAGAAGTCTGTTTTATTTGTACTGTATTAGTGCAAAAAGAATTTCTAAAATTTTTCGGGATCCTGCAGCAGATCATTTTTGAAGCATTGCTCTTCTGCCAAGTGTCTGGCACGGGTCCTTCTCCCTTGTCCTGCACTCATCCTCGGTGTCCTGCTCTTGTTTTTGTCCATAGATGGGGGCCTGGATGGTCCTTGGTCTCTTCTCTGCCTTCGTGTGTGATATTTGAATCCTCTTTTCAGGGCTGCGGCTAAAAGAATGGCTGTGCACCTCCCAGTCTGCTGCTTAGGGAGCAGCAGCCTCATGTCCAGAGCACCTCTGCTCTACTCAGGGGGACCCTCTCCTCCACGTCGTTCTTGTCCTTAGGTGTGCCAAAATAACCCAGCTGATAAAAGCAGTAACCACCAGCGTGCACTACTAGAGCTCTTTTTTTTTTTTTTTTTTTTTTTTTTGTCTTTTTCCGTGTCCGGCAACAGATCGCAACCCTCAGTGTCACCCCCGCACCGGACCGGGACCGGCAACGGGATCGCAACCCTCGATGTTGCCCCCGCGCCTCACTCAGCCAATGAGCGGGAACCGGTCCGCATGTGGGATCCGAACCCTCGGCGGGAGCGCCGCCGCGCTTCCCAAGCGGCGCACTAGCGCAGTGCGCCACCGGGCCGGCCCCTAGAGCTCTTTTTTTTTTTTTTTTTTTTTTTCC